TATATATATATATATATATATATATATATATATATATATATATCTCAGATTCATGTGGGTGATGTCACTGTTCACTGCCATGCAGGACAGAGGTTCGTACACAAAGAAATACATCATATTCATTAGCATTGGACGTCATATTCTAATTGAAGACTAATCAGTGTGGGCTAGCAAATTTGGGATAAACAGCAAGAATGTCCTCAAGCACCCCCGATTCAATGTAGTAATTACAAAGTTCATGATACAATAAGCCAGGTGGCCTGAAGTCTTTGACAGTGTCACATTCAATAATATAGTGTTCAAGTGTATGGCTTTAAAGGTTTATCACAAAGTTTACATGCTGAGTGTTCCGGTATGGGTACAGCGTTACTAACTTGCCAGATGTGTCTGTATCCTAGCCTAATTCTGGCCACGACTACATCACATTGTCTGGTTCTGTCCTTATGCTGGCCATACCGGTACCTCTTGTCACAAAATTTGTCATATTTACTAATGCTACAACTGCCAGGTCTCTCTGCATTTCTCAGTTCTTCTAGATCAGAGTTCATGATTCTGACTTGAATGTTTTTAAGTACAGCATTGGACAGGCCAAGGTCACGGTCAACATTTTCTTTCTTACATGCCTCATTGGCCAGTCTATCAGGACGGTCATGATACCTAATTCCAACATGGGACGGAATCCACACAAATTCGATACGAAAGGTGTTCTCATTGGCAGTCATCACGTTCCTTTTAATATCACATACAACTTTAAACATAGAGCCTGACGGGCTGTTCATTGATTTCAAAGCACTTTGAGAGTCACAGAATATCACCCCACCTCCATTTTCTTTGAGGTAGTCTGTGGCTAAGTAGATTCCAGTTAGTTCAGTTTGTGTTGTGCTGGCCCAGTTGTTCAGCCTTTGTTTGTTTGACACTATCATCTCTTTTTCTTTATATATTACAATTGCACAGCCTGTTCTACCTGTGTTTGTCTGCACAGAACCATCAGTAAAAGCATAACATTCACTTGATTTAATACTCTCTATGTGTCTGTTAATAGTTTCTAGTGTGACACATCTCACCACATCGGTGTTTAACATTTGCTTACTACCAACAGGAGAGTAATTAATAGGAACTGATATGTCCAGCCAAGGAGGAATGGCATTAATAGGTTCGTCTGGGGTGATTGGGACATTCAGTTTCAAGAGATCTGCAACACTTTTATGAAGCCACGCCCCAAAGAGAGTCTTTTGTGGAAGGTTGGCGAGGGAGTCGAGAGAGAGAGAGAGAGAGAGAGAGAGAGAGAGAGAGAGAGAGAGTAGGTTGTGGGTGAGATACGGAAGAGAAGGAAAGAGAATGAGAGGGGGAGAATGAAGAAGTGAATAAGGAGGAAAGTAAGAAATATAGAAGGTGACTTTTATTATAATTTATCCTCTCTCTCTTCTCTCACTATCTCTCTGCCTAGTTCCTCTCTCTCTCTCTCTCTCTCTCTTCTCTCTCTCTCTGCTAGTCTCTCTCTGTCCTGATTTATTTATCTCTGCGTTCTTCCTGTACTCTTTCATGTGTAGGTGGGGGAGGTGGGGGGATAAGAAGGGGGGAGGGGAAGTATCAGGGGAGAAGAGGGGGAGTAGTAGTGGGGAGGAGGTGAGAATAGGTGTGGGGAGAGGACAAATTGGAGAAAAGGACGGGAGGAGATGTGGTGAGAAGGTGAGGAGAAGCGGGGAGGAGGAGGAGGAGGAGGAAGAGAAGGAGGAAGAGGAGGAGGAGAAGGAGGAGGAGGAGGAGGAGGAGGAGGAGGAAAATTTCATATTTTGAACCTTAGATATTCGATATCTCCTAATTCCCATATAAATACTTCAATTTTTCCCGTATCAAAGTTTACCATGTCCTAATGCCCGTATTATTGACCCAATGTCCTAAGCCCCTTGTCACTACTACAGCATGTCCCAGTTCCCTTATCAACACCTCAACATTTTCTAATACCTATTTGAACGCTCCAATATGCCCGAATCTCTATATCACTACCTACAACGTGTCCTTACCCCACTGCTACAGTATATCCCAACATTTTTTTTAATTACACTTTTCATTATCAAGTCTTCGACATGTCCTAAAACTTATATGCATGTCCCAATGTGTTTTTCGAGCCCTATATGTCTCAGCATGTCATCGGGCCTATATTAGTGTCCAAACATGTCCAAATGACCACCATCAACGCCTATAACACACACTGAACTTTATATCAGCGCTTACACATTGTCCTGGGCCTCAGCAACGACGCACATCACGTATCAACATAAACCGGAAAGAGGCGTGAATCCCCGGTCGGTCAATACTGTTGTGAAAGTTTGAGAGACATCCTCTTCACTCATCCTATCGGGGCCAATCTATTGTAAACTTCGGCTATTTTTTTTTTTTCGTGTCAGATCGTCGTTAATGTACTGAATAAAGGCTTAGAAACATGAAAGGTATCCGAGGGAGGATCTGTCACCCTTTGCAAATGGAAAAGAGGATGGAAATTTGTCCCTTGAAACTCTGTTGGCTGGCACTCGCTCGCTCAGACGATGCATAATCAAAACAAACCTTTGAAGTGGCGGCCTTTTGTCCCTCCTAACTGTAGTACAGGTATTTACATCCGTAGGTTGGGTGAGGCTCAGGAAATATCGTCGAGGGCCATTTTTAACTCCGTTTCCTCCCCTTCCTGTCTCCCCTCGGCTCCGTGCGCGCCCCTGTAAGCCCAGTTTCCTGTCACGTTGGGGGAGACGGCGAACTCTAACCATATGTGCCGGATACCGGGCCAAAGTTTCACCATGTGTGCCGGATGGTGGTGCAAGGGGGTACTTCTCCAAGCCTCGTCACCCGGATATTTGCGGTCATGAAGTGTCTTGAGTGTCACATGTAAGAGGTGAGGAGGCGGAGGGGGAGGGTGGGAAGGGGTGGGGTGTGAATGTCTCTGTGTATTGATAGTGTGAATGTCTCAAGCGTTAATGACTCCGTGTACAATGGAGTGAACGCCTGCCTGTCCTCCGGTAATTGTGGAGGTGACGTGAATGTGGTGAGCGAGTGAATGTTTGTCTGTTGTAAGAATTTAGTTAGTGTGAATGTTTGTTTACCTTGCAAGAATGTAAACAGTGATAACGTCTACTCTCAAGGACATTTTTAACCTGCGCTAACAAACAAACAAACAAACACCGTTATAGACTTTAATGTAAGGCTAATTCATCACAAATACAGTAATGTGCGAAGCAACTACACACAGACACACACGCACACACACACACACAGACACACACACACACACAGACACACACCCACAAATACGTGTGCACAAACTGAAGTATACAATTTCAAGGCAGACAAATTTATTCACAGACAGAACACATACATACATATACATACATACATACATACATACATACATACATACATACATACATACATACATACATACATACATAAAAAATTACTGATAAAACAGGATATTTAGATAATTGCAAAAGTGTAAAAGTAAGAACGAATTATCAAAGATTTTTAACCCTAAAGATCGACTTTCAGCTTTGACCTAGAATTATGACCGTGAACTCTGATCTTTTGAATAATGACCTTAAAGTTTGACCTTGAAGCAATGACCTTGAACTTTATACCTGTCACACACACACACACACACACACACACACACACACACACACAAGACGATTATAATATTCCCTTTCGCCCTCTTCCCTATATTCTCCATGTGTAAATTTTGACTCTTACTAATACTAAGTAAATGGATCTAGTTTAGGTAGAGTCTCAGCGTAATTCTGACCCTATGTGAGCAACTATGAGTTATACCTGTACTGAGACAATCAGATTACCACCCTAACACTACTTGAGAGGGTTAGGTTAGGTTACATTAGGTTAGGTTAGACTAGGTTAGGTTAGGTTGCGTTTGGTTAGCGTTACGGTGATTTACCTTCAGTTGAGATAAGCTGGGGTGTCTAATCCTTAAGTGGTATAAGCTGGGGTGTTTAATCTTCAGGTAATCCAATTTAACCTTTGAGAATTTATCTTTGTGTCGTAACTTGAGAGAAAGAGAGAGAGAGAGAGAGAAAGAGAGAGAGAGAGAGAGAGAGAGAGAGAGAGAGAGAGATGTGATGACATGGTAATTATCTTTCCACCACTCCTAGCTTATTTCTCTTGGTGATTAAACTCTCACACTAACCTAACCCCTGAGGTAGCGTTAAGGTGTTTAATCATTAGGTGAAATAAAGTGTAGTACATAATCATTAGATGATTTCAGAACAGCTCTTTCGACTCAAGTTAGGAAGGAAAACTTAACCTACGACCTGTTGAGAATCGGTGTCCAGGACAATAAACGTTTGTGGTAGGTCGTATGAGTGTTGGAATGGTCGTACTTACCTGAAAGAGCTTGAGGGGGGGTAGACAGATGAGGTTGCCAGTTTATATAATATCCTTTATTCATGGTTAACAACTACCCTTTTCATGATCATCAAAGGCTTTTAAATTATTCTTCACCCACTTAAAGATATTGATAATGTATCTACCCATCACACCAGGGGACTCTGTTTTATATTCATTCATCCATCACAGTCTTCACCATCACAGCCTCCACCATCCCAGTCTCCACCATCCCAGTCTCCACCATCCCAGTCTCCACCATCCCAGTCTCCACCATCACAGTCTCACAGTCTCCACCATCCCAGTCTCCACCATCACAGTCTCCACCATCCCAGTCTCCACCATCCAGTCTCCTCCATCACAGTCTCCACCATCCCAGTCTCCACCATCACAGTCTCCATCACAGTCCCAGTCTCCACCATCACAGTCTCCACCATCCCAGTCTCCACCATCACAGCCTCCTCCATCACAGTCTCCACCATCCCAGTCTCCACCATCACAGTCTCCACCATCACAGTCTCCACCATCCCAGTCTCCACCATCCCAGTTCCACCATCACAGTCTCCACCATCACAGTCTCCACTAACACAGTCTCCACCATCACAGTCTCCACCATCTTAGTCTCCACCATCACAGTCTCCACCATCCCAGTCTCCACCATCACAGTCTTCACCATCACAGCCTCCACCATCACAGTCTCCACCATCCCAGTCTCCACCATCACAGTCTCCACCATCCCAGTCTCCACCATCACAGCCTCCTCCATCACAGTCTCCACCATCCCAGTCTCCACCATCACAGTCTCCACCATCCCAGTCTCCACCATCACAGTCTCCACCATCCCAGTCTCCACCATCACAGCCTCCTCCATCACAGTCTCCACCATCCCAGTCTCCACCATCACAGTCAATGATACATTCCAAATACTCAAAATATTCCACTTGTTTAACTAGCCCGTTGCCTATTATAATTTTTATTTTAAGATTTATTTCCAATTTAGAAAAAAAACTATTACTTTCGTGTTTACATCATTAACCCTTGACTCATATTGTGTTCACCAGTTTTTGTAATGCCTTCTCACTATCCGCAATAAAAACAATATCAACTGCATAGTGTCTACTGTATTTTGATATTACTTTACCATTAACTTTAATTTCTTCATTGTTACTTAGAGCTTCTCACATTAAGAATTCTGAATATATATATTATACAATGTTGGAGACAAAATACTTCCTTTTCTTCCTCCCCGCCTTACTTTGAACCATATAGGCAACTTTTTTTTTTTACGAGGAATAGCCCACCCGGGCACAGGTCATCGACCCACAACGGGACCTAGGGGGCGAAAAAATAAGAGTAAAAACAATTTAAAAATAGAAAAGAAAAGGATTATATTAATCTACACCACGAAGATGCCGGAAAACCAGCCTTTTGAAGTGAGACAGATTGTATGAGTTTGGAAATACAGAAGATGGCAGAACATTCCACAGTTTGGCTGTGTGAGGAAAGAAGGATGTACTATAACGGATTATTCTTATGTGATCGACATCCACAGAGAAACGGTGGGCACCGCGGGTAAGACGAGTGTTACCAGCCCACGGCGTTGCCGGCGGTACACAGGATGCCAAATCCACCGAACATTGCCCGTTGAAGTACCTGTAAAAGAGAGAGAGTGAAACAAAATTACGGCGAAAAGAAAGGGACTAAAGATTATCATCTAAAGGAGAAGAGTCAATAAGACGAAATGCCTTTGATTCCACCCTATCTAACAGCTGGACAGAAGAAGAGATATGAGAACAGTACTCCAAGTTAGGACGAATGAATCCCTGATAAACTTGAAGCAACTGCTCTGGAGTGAAGTAGCTACGGCATCTGGTGAGGCCTAGCATATCTATTTTAGAATTTGGCAGAATGATTTTCCTCCTGAAATGTGATTGGTGGGAGATCATCGAATTTGGAAAGAGTAATTGGTAAATACTGAGTTATATTACTGTTGAATTTAACCAAGTTTCTACCTCCCCATTCGAAGATGCTGCATAGATCCGCATTGATAGATGTAATGATATCAGCTCTAGAAACAGATCTAGTTTGAGAGTTGGGGGAAGTGGAAATGTGAAGAAGAGTGAAGAGTAGAATCATCAGCATAAGAATGAATAGAATTAGTCGTAGTGTGAAGTAAATTATTGATAAGAAGAAGGAAGAGAGTAGGTGAAAAAACAGAACCCTGTGGGACACCACTACTGGTAGAGAAAGAGCGAGAGATCGATCCCTCGACAATAACTGCCATGGATCTGTCCTCAAGGAAGCTAGAGACAAGAGAACAAAGTAGGGGAGAGAAACCATAAGAGTGAAGTTTAGAAAGCAAAGACGATGCATGCAATATGGCGCTTCAATTGTCCTGAGACTCGACCATATTTTGTGCTTTTATTTTTTCATACTTGTTCTACCAATTAATTTTTTTGCGTTATTTGTTCTTGTTTTTCAAAATATATTATATAAATCTCTAGAGCAATTTTTTTTGTCAAACACACACACACACACACACACACACACACACACGATGAATCCAAAGTGACCTACATACATACAAACATACATACATACTCATTATTATATTCTCTTATCTCCTCCCATCCTCCTCCCCCCTCTCTTCCCCCTTCCTTGCTATACACCTGTCCTCTCTCTCTCTCTCTCTCTCTGTAGCCCCCACCACCCTCCTCCTCCTCCTCCTCCCAAGACCTGCTTTACTACTTTGAACAAATAATCGAAAAAGTTATGTTACTTTTCCTATATATATAAGTAAGTATAAATCAATGACTACTTTTATCTGTATTTTTTTATTTGTGTCTATTTGTTTATTTTCATTTTTTTGGAGGGGAGTGCAAAAAATAGCCTCGTGGAATGGCATCAATGAATGTAGAAGTGGAGTTGTGTACAGTAATCAGCTGATATGTGACGCCATGTTAAAATCGGTGATGTTGGCAATGATCAGCTAGTGTATGACGTCATGTTAAAATCGGTGATGTTTGCATTACTCAGCTGATGTGGAGTGACGTCATGTTAAAAATTTCTGTGTTTACTACAATCAGGTAATGTGTGACGTCACAGAATAAACCTCGATATAAAGAACAACTTTTTTTATGGTAATTATCGGAAATCGTCTTAGAGGGAGAGAGACTAATGGCGGGGAGAAAGAATGAGTGGGTAAGGATCATGAGTGGTGTGTGGGTGAACAATGGGCAATATGAGGTCGAGTATGATAATTGAGGATGAGTGTGGGTGGGACATGGGCGCCGGGGTTTTAGACTAGTGGGTGGGAATTGAACCCCGCGAGGTCAAATGTGGGTGGAAACTGGGCGGTAATATAAGCGACTTTGGGTGTAAAAATGGGCGGGATTTAGATATGGATTTGGGTGGGAAGTGGGCGGGCAGGGACAAGGTGGGTTACCGGAAGAATGGACAGAGAGGGCGGAAATGGTCACTCCACCCCCACCCACCCCACCCAGTGACCTCCGCCCCCCCATAACCCCCCGGCCCCGGATGCTATCAGTAATTACTATCAATAATAACATAATATGGCCGACAACACTTGTGCTTACACCTGTCTGTCTGTCCGTGTGTTTGTTTGTCTGTCTGTCTGTCTGATTGTCTCTCGGTCTGTGTGTTATTCTGTCTGCAAGAATTAGGTGTGTTTGTCTGTCTATTTGTCTGTGTGTTTGCCTTCTTTTCTGTCCGTCTGTCTATTTGTGTGGCCTTATGTTTGTTTCTTTGTTTGTTTGTCTCTCTCTCTGTCTTTGTCTGTCATTACGTCTATCTGTTCGTGTGTCTATCGATCAGTATGTTAGTCTGTCTGTCTGTCTGTCCGTTTTTGCCTGTCTGTTTATCTATGTGAGTACATTTCTCAATTTGTGCATTTGTTTGTCTTTGACTAAAATCAATTGTTTGTATGTATGTATGTATGTATGTATGCATGTATGTATGTATGTATGTATGTATGTATGTATGTATGTATGTACTGTATGTATGTATGTATGTATGTATGTATGTATGTAATAATAATAATAATAATAATAATAATAATAAACGGTTTATTCATAGAGTTGCAGCCGGTGGCTGAAAATATACAGACTTACATTTGATTTAGACATAATGATATAATATGCATTGAATACATTTACAGGGCTGTACAGTACATAAATCAGGAGTTGTTTATTATTTTAACAATAGATGGGATGGTGCTGTTCTTATATCTATCGGTGCAGGCTCTTATGGGCTGAATTTTGTTGTAGTGGCGGACTGCGCGAGGTGGGTGGGGGCTGCAGGTGGCAGGAGGTGGCAATGACGAGGGTGGTGCAGTAGTCCACTGCCAAACCTTTCCAGTGCTTGGTGGTGGAGGTCACTGAGGGATGGCATTTCCAGGGTGGAGAGAGCGTTGGTGTAGCCGGAGTATTCTGCGCCGAGCATGATTCTGCAGGCCCTTTTCTGTACCTTCTCTAGCTGACGTTGTTGGGTGGAGTTGAGAGAAGACGACCAGGCTGGTGACGCATATGTAAGTTTGGGGAGAATAAAGGCGTCCTCAGCTCTGGCAGCCTTGACTGTGTTATTTACATGGGCCTTCCAGTCAAGTTTGTTGTCTATAGTTACACCCAGGAGTTTGGCAGACTGCACCAGCTGGAGAGGATGGGCACCCACTGTGACTGCTGGGGCTTGCACTGAAGTGGTGGCGGTATTGATGTGCATGACTACGGTTTTGGTGTGGTTGATGGTGACCTTGTTCTCCGTAGTCCATGCCTGTAGCCTGTCCAGGGTGCCTTGTAGCGATGAGTAGTCTGGTGCGGTGTTGTCCACTGAAACCCCTACAGTGCAGTCATCCATGTACTTCCACCTGTGAGGAGTGTCCGATAGAGCATCGTTGATCAGGATGAGGAAGCACAGTGGTCCCATCTTGGTCCCCTGGGGAACACCGCAGGTGAGGTGTTGGAATGTAGAGACCAAGCCCTGATACCTCACTGCCTGGCGACGTCCACTCAAGAAATCAGTGAGCCATGAGACCAGGTTGGTGGGCAGCCCTAGTGCAATAGCCTTGTTGATAACAGTGCAGTGATCAACAAGGTCAAAGGCCTTCCTGAGGTCCACAAGGGCAACGGCCAGTGATGTCTTACATTTCTGCAAGTTTTTGTGCAGAAAATCCAGAAAGCTCACCAAGCAGTGTGATGTAGAGGAGGGCCTCATATGTATGTATGTATGTATGTATGTATGTATGTATGTATGTATGTATGTATGTATGTATTTTGGTAGATGGATGATAATACAAATATAAACAAGTACCCCTTCCACACACACACACACACACACACACACACTTATGTCTGTGGGCAGGAAGAGACACAATAACAAGGAAGAGGAAATACACTGAGAAGAAAGCTGGAAACGGGACAGAGAATGGGAAGGAAGAGAAGAAATGAATGGCGAATAGAACAAGAGAAATGGAAGGGTAGATGTGGAACGAGGAAGAGGAAGAGATAGAGAAGGAAGGTAAACGGGAGAGAATGACAGTGGATGTGAATTGAGGAGAGAGAGAAGGGGAAGGAATAAGATGAAAAAGAAGAAGAGGAATGGAAGAATAAAAAGAGGAGAGAGAGAGAGAGAGAGAGAGAGAGAGAGAGTTGGCGGGAAAAACAAATGAAGAACGGATAAAAGACGAGAAAGAATAACAGAGGATATGAGTGAAGGGAGAGGAGGAGGAAATGGCGATGAAGAGATTTCGGTTAGGAACTTCCGGGAAGAGAGATGAAGAGGAAGAGGAAGAGGAGGAGGGAGAGAGGGAGGAAACGAGAATTAAGACGAGGTGCGGGAAGCTGGTTTGAAATACCCGTCATTGTGGTTTATTATTGTTATTGTGTTTTGACGGGAAGGGGAGGTGATGGTGGTGGAGGGTGGAGTTAGGGTGAGGGAAGGAGGTAGATGCGTTACGTACAAAGAGAGAGAGAGAGAGAGAGTACTACTACTACTACTACTATTTTTTTTTTTTTAAACGTGGCCTCCAGCCTCCCCCAATAGCCACACCTTCGCCACCATATATTTACCTTAATATTAAATATCCTAATACATAAGAAGCTATCCTATCTGTGTTAAATTAGTTGAGCCGCAGATCTATGCGGCACTACTATTACTACTGGTATTGATAATAAAAAGTCAACAATAATAATAATAATAATAATAATAATAATAATAATAACAATAATATTCGAGACAGTTACTATAAAAATGACAAACACTCAGTAACGTACTTACCTTCATAATTATTAAAATTGTTAGGTCATTAATAGCTCCAAATATTCTAAAATATATATATAGAATATATAACAGTATAATATATAATTAAGGTAGTAATAAGAATATATGCGTTACAGAGGTGACACTACATGTACCCAGGGTTAGTGGTGCTACTACTTTAACTTTTAATTAATTTTAATTTTGCCACTAACAGTGGCTAGTTTATTGTGCACCCCATACCCATCCTGTGAGCGGAAGCGCAAAAGGATTACAGGATATTATAGCATTGAATGTTGCAGAGTATTTAAAATAAATTCTTTGTTTAGTTCTTTACACAGAGGGTAACTTATTCGCAACTGCATGAGTACAGGAGTGTGAGGCAATATGTCTGGCTGCACACTTTTTTATTCACATATGCGTGAGAGGTATTCAAGCACATTGTATGTTTGGTTCTATACATGGGAGCTGATATAGCAATTAAGTGCAAAAAAGTGGATACAATCTTAATATGTCGGCTATCTTGCCATTCGAGATAAAGTGTTGTGCCATTTCACACTCAGTGTACTTGGACCTGTCCCTAAAAGGTTCTATCTTCACACAGCCAAGGGCGTGGTGTTCGAGTGTGTGGCCATATGTCAGGCCACACACTTTATATTTAGTCTTGTTCACATCTGCTTGAGGGATATACTGCCAAAGGTACTTACACCCAAACCTTATTCTAGTGGTTACAATATCTTGTAAAGGAGTTAGAATTAACAACTGGGCATCCACTCTACAAACTGAATTAGTTGCCATAGATAGATAGATAGATAGATATTTTATTGACCAAAAATTATGAATACAGAGTTTAAACTAAAATTTTCCATAAAATGGTCCAAATGCACATGCTTTCAAACACCAAACATTAATAAAAGTTCACCGATTAAACCAGTAACACAAAAAAATAGAGGTAAACCACGAGTAAATGAAGTAAAAATAAAATAACTACATGTAAAATAAGATAAAGCATATAAAATAGTTCTGGGTAAATAATATGTTGATGGCGCATATCTATTGTTCGGCGGCAGTCTTCAACAACATGCCATTCAGGCTGAATAACACCAGCTAGTAAATTTATTGAAACCACTGTCACTGACAGACTCATCATCACTGATTCTCTATCCTCACTACTTGCCCATGACACACTCAACTCAAGTTGTCACACGCTTGTCTCTGAAGCCAGACACAAATATGCGTACCTTGTTGACCGGGGTGTCAAGCTCAAACTGTTGTGGATCCGCTCTCACATAGGCCTCAGAGAACATGACAGAGTTCATACCCCCGCCAAACTCGCGTCTAACAAAGACACTGTTGAATACAATTAGGTCTGTCAAAAAGAACCCTTAAAACTGTAAAAAGCTATTACATGTACCCAGGGTTAGTGGTACTACTACATATACTCAGGGTTAGTGGTACTACTACATATACTCAGGGTTAGTGGTACTACTACATATACTCAGGGTTAGTGGTACTACTACATATACTCAGGGTTAGTGGTGCTACTACATATACTCAGGGTTAGTGGTACTACTACATATACTCAGGGTTAGTGGTGCTACTACATATACTCAGGGTTAGTGGTACTACTACATATACTCTCATATACTCAGGGTTAGTGGTACTGCTACATATACCCAGGGTTAGCGGTGCTCCTACATATACTCAGGGTTAGTGGTACTACTACATATACTCAGGGTTAGTACATATACTCAGGGTTCTACTACATATACTCAGGGTTAGTGGTACTACTACATATACTCAGGGTTAGTGGTACTACTACATATACTCAGGGTTAGTGGTACTACTGCATATACTCAGGGTTAGTGGTACTACTACATATACTCAGGGTCAGTGGTGCTACTGCATATACTCAGGGTTAGTGGTACTACTGCATATACTCAGGGTTAGTGGTACTACTACATATACTCAGGGTTAGTGGTGCTACTGCATATACTCAGGGTTAGTGGTGCTACTGCATATACTCAGGGTTAGTGGTGCTACTACATATACTCAGGGTTAGTGGTGCTACTGCATATACTCAGGGTTAGTGGTGCTCCTACATATACTCAGGGTTAGTGGTACTACTACATATACTCAGGGCTAGTGGTGCTCCTACATATACTCAGGGTTAGTGGTACTACTACATATACTCAGGGTTAGTGGTGCTCCTACATATACTCAGGGTTAGTGGTGCTACTACATATACTCAGGGTTAGTGGTGCTACTACATATACTCAGGGTTAGTGGTACTACTACATATACTCAGGGTTAGTGGTACTACTACATATACTCAGGGCTAGTGGTGCTACTACATATACTCAGGGTTAGTGGTGCTCCTACATATACTCAGGGTTAGTGGTACTACTACATATACTCAGGGTTAGTGGTGCTACTACATATACTCAGAGTTAGTGGTGCTACATATACTCAGGTTAGTGGTACTACTACATATACTCAGGAGCTGATTGCTACTACATATACTCAGGGTTAGTGGTACTACTACATATACTCAGGGGCAAGTGGTGCTACTACATAGCTCTCAAGGGTTGAGTGGTGCTGCCTACATAATACTCAGGGTTAGTGGTACTACTATATATACTCAGGTTAGTGGTGCTACTACATATACTCAGGGTTAGTGGTGCTACTACATATACTCAGGGTTAGTGGTGCTACTACATATACTCAGGGTTAGTGGTTCTACTACATATACTCAGGGTTAGTGGTGCTACTACATATACTCAGGGTTAGTGGTACTACTACATAAACTCAGGGTTAGTGGTGCTACTACATATACTCAGGGTTAGTGGTACTACTACATATACTCAGGGTTAGTGGTACTACTACATATACTCAGGGTTAGTGGTGCTACTACATATACTCAGGGTTAGTGGTACTACTACATATACTCAGGGTTAGTGGTACTACTACATATACTCAGGGTTAGTGGTACTACTACATATACTCAGGGTTAGTGGTGCTACTACATATACTCAGGGTTAGTGGTACTACTACATATACTCAGGGTTAGTGGTGCTACTACATATACTCAGGGCTAGTGGTACTACTACATATACTCAGGGTTAGTGGTACTACTACATATACTCAGGGTTAGTGGTGCTACTACATATACTCAGGGCTAGTGGTGCTACTACATATACTCAGGGTTAGTGGTGCTACTACATATACTCAGGGTTAGTGGTGCTACTACATATGCTCGGGTTAGTGGTGCTACTACATATACTCCCAGGATTGGTGGTGCTACTACATATGCCAGGGGTTGTGATGGTTTTACTACATATGCTCAGGGTTAGTGGTGCTACATATACTCAGGGGTTGTGGTGGTACTGCACTACATATACTCTGGGTCTAGTGGTGCTACTACATGTATTCAGTGTTAGTGGTGCTACTACATATACTCTGGGTTAGTGGTGCTACTACATGTATTCAGGGTTAGTGGTGCTACTACATATACTCAGGGTTAGTGGTGCTACTACATATATTCAGGGTTAGTGGTGCTACTACATATACTCAGGGTTAGTGGTGCTACTACATATATTCAGGGTTAGTGGTGCTACTACATATACTCAGGGTTAGTGGTGCTACTACATATACTCAGGGTTAGTGGTGCTACTGCATATATTCAGGGTTAGTGGTGCTACTGCATATATTCAGGGTTAGTGGTGCTACTGCATATATTCAGGGTTAGTGGTGCTACTGCATATATTCAGGGTTAGTGAATTACTGCTACATATACTCAGGGGATTGATGGTACTACTACATATACTCAGGGTTGAGTGGTACTACTACATATACTCAGGGTTAGTGGTGCTACTACATATACTCTCAGGGGTTAGTGGTGCTGCTACATATATGAGGGTTAGTGGTACTACTACATATACTCAGAAGGGTTAGTGGTGCTACTACATATGCTCAGGGGATTAGTGGTGCTGCTACATATGCTCAGGGGTTAGTGGTGCTACTACATATACTCGGGCTAGTGGTGCTACTACCATATACTCAGGGTTGAGTGGTACTACTACATATACTCAGGGTTGAGTGGTACACTACTACATATACTCAGGGTTAGTGGTGCTACTACATATACTCAGGGTTAGTGGTACTACTACATATACTCCGTTAGTGGTGCTACTACATATACTCGGGGTTGGTGGTGCTACTACATACTCAGGGTTAGTGGTGCTACTACATATACTCAGGGTTGGTGGTGTTACTACATATGCTCAGGGGTTGGTGGTACTACTACATATACTCAGGGTTGATGGTACTACTACATATACTCAGGGGTTGAGTGGTACTACTACATGTATGCTCAGGGGTTAGGTGGTACTACATATACTCAGGGGTTAGTGTGCTACTACACATATATACTCAGGGTTGGTACTACTACATATACTCAGGGTTAGTGGGTACTACTACATATACTCAGGTTGGTGCTACTACATATACTCAGGGTTAGTGGTGCTACTACATATACTTTCAGGAGTTAGTGGTGCTACTACATATACTCTCAGGGGTTAGTGGTGCTCCTACATATACTCAGAGTTACTAGCGGTGCTCCTAATATATAGGGTTGAGTGAATTGCTACATATACTCAGGGTTAGTGGTGCTCCTACATATACTCAGGGCTAGCGGTGCTCCTACATATACTCAGGGCTAGTGGTGCTCCTACATATACTCAGGGCTAACGGTGCTCCTACGTTACACCAGGGTTTGTCCAACATTTGTGTAATCGCCTGTCGAAGTTTAACGCATTTGTAGACATGATTTCCTGTTCAGATTAGCCCTTCCATGCACACAGTACTGCGGCATCACGAAGCTTTCAGGCCTCATCCTAAACCGTGTGTATGGACCCCAATGTAAATAATCTTATAATTCATGCATTTTATTTTATTTTATTGAGTACAAATCCCTAGAGTACATTATAAATACATTATCAACATCAGTATCAATTTGCTCGGACTGTTCCTTGTCAAATTAATCTACATCTTAATGATGTTTGTATACCTGTACTATGTAACTTATATACGTATAATTTTTATAAGCACGCTAAATGAATGTGGGTACTGTATAATAATTATACTAAACAAAAATTACCAAACTGTGTTAAATATATTAGTTACCAAAAACATTGAGAAACTTTCTGTATTAATATTTTGAGAGAAAATGGATCAGGCTTGCTGTTTTATGGGGGTAACTTAACTAAAACTCAAGCATCTTGTATTACAGTAGCCAACATTATTATTTACAGTAGTTATATCTGTACTGTTATATGTAAGTAGTAACAATAAAGTGTTGCATTAAAGCAATATCACCATTTTTAGGCTGGAATAAGAGTTTAAAGCCATAAGTGTCAACCCAAAGGCCCCATGGCTGTTATAATCCATGAGGGGAACTATAACTCGTCCTTCACGTCAGCGGGGTGAGAGGCAGCACCAGTCTCCAGGAAGGTTTCCAGTAGTGGAATAGTCTGTAGCCAGAAGTTGCGTCCCTGTGAACACACAATATCGACTTAACACACCAGACTAAATGATATTTGTTATACAACCAAGGTGGTACATCGCTTAATAATTTACAATCAAAATAATAATGCGCATCTCGTTTAACAGCTGCCACATGCTAGTAACCAAATCTCTAAAATAAACAATTGCTGTATAATATAATGCATGACTTAACCCTATAATGTTAGTGGTGTATAAGAGAGTTTGTGAAGGAGACTCACCTTGGCGTTGTATGGTGTGTGGACCATGGAGGGCTGGAGGCTGATGTTGTAATAGCCGACGGGTTCCCCAGCCACTACCGGCGTCCACTCTGACCTCTCTCCTTCAACACCCTGCGGCCTCCTGTACACACCAACCTCATTACATAACTTCTATTATCCTGATACTTGGTAGCAGAGAAGGACGTTATGGGGGAATTACCAACAGAGGATAATTATAATGATCCGTACATAAGGTGTATATCAGGGCAGACACGGGGACTGGTGGGCTAAGATTATTATTATTATTATTATTATTATTATTATTATTATTATTATTATTATTATTATTATTATTATCATTATTATTATTATTATTATTATTATTATTATTATTATTATTATTATTAACAATTGAAGTATAAAATCGTTTGAATAACAGTGTAGTTAAAACGAATGATCATTCACTATGGAAGGTACTGTACTGTACTAGTCTAGACAAATATGACTGAAATAAGGGGAGGAGGCAGATCATGTGGGGATGGCCGGTCAGGCAGATATTTATTGATATGTAAGAGTATATAAAGATGTAGTACCACCATAATGGACTGACGGTCGTGGGCTGTGTAAGGGCTTAGGGTTGGGTCTTGCTCGGCTACTTAAGGATGCTATTGAAATTATGAAGAGAAATCGATAAGATAAAATGAACTCTCAGTGAGGACATATGAACACTTGGTCTTAATGCGACGGTTAATGTACTGAACAGTATATGGCGCTCTTCAGATGTGTCAATTAGAATGAGACAAATATATATATATATATATATATATATATATATATATATATATATATATATATATACAAGTCAATCACTGTAGGTGCGCGTGATCTAGGTATATGCTGATAATGAAAGAAGAAACGTTAGCAGTTTCCTGCATTTCAGGGTTGAGTACAGACTGTACTCATCCCTGAAGATGTGAATTACACGAAAGCTTTATCTTGTTTCTTTTTTTTTTTATATATATATATATATATATATATATATATATATATATATATATATATATATATATATATATATATATATATATATAAATTTTTTCTAATTGATGCTGGAAGGTAAAAAACGAAACAAAAAACGTGAAATTGGATCCCATATTCCCATAGGTACGCTGTATACTGTACTAAGCTTTCGGTAAGCAAGAGGCAGCGTGACCGGCACTGCACTATACCGCCTCCACTTCCATTTACAGCTGGGTGGATTAAGACTGCCCCGGAATCGAACCAACAACCCTTAGAGCAGGAGGTGGGCGCTGTATCCTCGCAGGGAAATAAGGGCGTCTAACTTTACCATTCAAAAGAAAGGAACAAATAACATTTACGCCCATTAAAGGTTCAGTGACTCGAGTCAAAACGTGGAGTAAAAAAAAGAACAAAAAAAGATTAAGACGAGGACTTACCCGCGGGAGATGAAGTTCACAAACAAGGAGACGAAGGAGGAGGAGAAAGTCTCCGTCTCATAGTTGTACTCCTGGCTGGAGAAGAGGAAGAGCTGTTCGTCCCCGTGAGAGACTCCAGTCTTCAACAGGGGCGTCTTCATACCCAGATCAGAGGCCTTTTCGAACAAGTGTGGACCACCCCAGACAACACCGGAAGAGTCTCGGTGAGTCATAATGAAACTGGAGAGAAGGAAACTGTACATTAAAGAGTTTTTGATTAGATAAAAAAATGGTCGGCTGACGGACACCATTATGAGGGCAAAAATTTTTATGACTAAATCAATATACTTGTTACTGATATCAAGTACTGGTAATGACACTATGATTATTATTATAGTGTTTTAAATAATATTGTTATGGTTACTCTTATGAGCCAGAGGTATAGTATGTATATTCTTAAATAGTTGTAAGACGCAGTAATACATTGGAATGTCAACACACAATCACCACTATTACTTATCGTTATCATAATCACCCGAGAGTTTGTCACATCACTCACTTGTAAACTGTGTAGTTAGCAGCGGCAAGGCTGGCAGCCGCCTCTTGGCTTGGAGGAAGAAACATGTAATCTGTCAATGCCTGAGGGAGAAACATTGGAATACTCGGTGTAGGACACATAATGCTTTCCTATGAACACCATTCAACTTTACTGTTGGTCTTAATGACAACTGTACTTTGCTTCCATATCACTTTATTCACTAAAAAGTCCCAACGATAATAAATTGAAGTATATTGCACTTTTCTATGTTTATTCTTTACTTCAACACATGATGAATTTAAATAAATCACCAAACGCAGCTAAGTCAGCCTCAGAAGACATGACTGGACCATAAGGATGAAAGCAGCTGATAATTACCTTAAGTCATATAAAATCTTGTAGTTACATCCATTTATTAAGTTCGCTTAAAATCCATTGTGTTTTCTTGGTGTTTTCATGATTATAAAGGTCGTAAACTCAGATACTCTATCCCTTTGGACCTCTGCACCGCCAAGTTAGCATTAATACACACTAAGCAATTTCCCTACTGGGAACAAGCATCTAATGGCTTTGTCAGCTACCCTTGGTCAAATTGCTTACTGTTTACCATTGTTTGTCTACCCGCGCTGTCTAGGTGCATTGGAAACTGCATACCTGTGCGGTCCAAGTGCAGTCGGCCAAAGATCCAGCGACCCCACCCTGGGTCTCGTACTGACAATTTTACCTGGCAATACTTGGTAAAGTAAGGCTGTACGTAAAGGTGATTGTGATTGGTGGATCTATTTTCGGCTGTATTACTGTCAGGATAAATACTAAATAATCCAAAGGTAATTTTTTTATAATAATAAATTATTCATTGTTATTTAAGATCATGAGAAATTTTGAAATGTTCGTATATTTACTTAAATAACGAACAAAAATATATTAATGAAATGGCAGCTCAACTACAACAAGGGCTGCCACAAGAATCTCAGACCAAATTTTCTTAATTTTTTTTAACCAAATATACGGACATTTGGAAACTTCTCAAGACCTGAAATAACACTGATATTTTTTTTTTTACTGTGATTAGTCCACCCGGGCACAAGTCATATTGACCCACATCGGGGCTGGGGGGCGAAATTGTAATAATAATAATAATAATAATAATAATAATAATAATAATAATAATAATCATAATCATAATTTATAATAATAATTCATAATATGAATAAAAATAATGAAATAATAATGATAATAGTAATAATAATAATAATAATAATAATAATAATAAAATTCAAGAGTGAGAAACAATATATGTAAGTTGTGTTGTCAAAGTAAGAGAAACAATTGAGACCCTGCAAGTGTGTGTAAATGAGACACAAAGTCAGATCAGCAACCTGGGACTTGGTCACAATTTTTGTGGTGCCATATGGCAGCAGGGTCTACCATTAGACAACACATCATGTTTTCAATATCTTCCCAGGAGTAACCCCAAGGAATAGTTTATTATTATAAAAATTCTACCTTTGGACTGTTGTTTAATATTTATCCTGACAGTAATACAGCCGAAAATAGATCCACCAATCACAATCACCTTTACGTACAGCCTTACTTTACTAAGTATTGCCGAGTAAAATTGCCAGTACGAGATCCAGGGTGGGGTCGCTGGATGCTTACCCGGCACTATCGTGGTAAAAGTTCTCCCCCTCCCAAACTGAAGCAGTATTGACTCCAAATGAGATAAAACAGCACACCCGCACCAGATGACAGTCAGGGTAAGTCAGTTCGGAGACTCATTCCCGTGACTCAGTTTCACCACGGGGAGCGAACTTTTGTCCACGATAGTACAGTCACCCAAAAAAGTCCTGTCGCGAACCATGAACCCCGAGATTCAAACTCTTGAATCCGAAGCATTTATGGACAGAATAATGTATCAGTGTCTAATGCTTCGGGTTCACGAGTCTGAATCGTGGTTCGCGACAGGATTTTTTTGGGTGACTGTACATGAACAAATCGTGTCGTGAAATGTGGTGAAAACATATGAAGTAGGACTAAAACTTGTGGTGCACTCTGCCTTGTGGTAGGGGGCTCTCATAATGTTTCACGAGTTATATTTAATCTTTGGACAAAACTGCGACACGAATTTTGTCTTTGATTGTACACTACTGTATATAACTGCATTATCTATACATATGCTGAACTGCATTCCTGCTTTATCTCTCTCTCTCTCATATATACATATTGATACGTCAAACCAATTGTAAACTTGTATTTCAATATTATGTAATGAAAAAGTATCTATCTACTCAAAATTCCTTTAAATCCGAGAGAGGAGAGAGAGAGGTAGCCTCTCACTTGTGACATCTCTTCTAGTAATGTGTCAAGAGAGTATCGGGCTCGAGAAGAGTAATATAAGGTCTCTGCCATGTGAGCGACATGTTCAGCATGTTGGACGTTGAACCATAAGGAGCTGATGGTGTAGTGTCGCCTCCTCATACGACACTGCGGGATTCCTCGGCTCCGTTGTTGATGTCAAGATTTCTGTAATGATATGAGCTCCATGCAGGTGTTTCGTCGATTAAATTTATTTCATTTTCGGATTACCTCATGATTAGGCATCCCAGCTTATTTTACATGATAATTGAACACCCTAACGCTAACCTAACTTAACCTAACCTCATTGTGATCGTGCAATAGAACGTTTATGTGCTTCTTGAGGAAGTCACTAGATCATTTTGTCCATTAACAAAAGGCATTTCAATATGGTGTTATAAGGTCCTCACACGCCTACCTCACCTGGCGTCTCCCTCACACACCTGCCTCACCTGGCGTCTCCCTCACGCGCCTACCTCACCTGGCGTCTCCCTCACACACCTGCCTCACCTGGCGTCTCCCTCATACACCTGCCTCACCTGGCGTCTCCCTACATCTGCCTCACCTGGCGCCTCCCCACACGCCTACCCCACCTGGCGTCTCCCCACACCTGCCCCCACCTGGTTCCCCACACCTGCCTCTGTCTGGCGTCCCCATACACCTGCCTGCCTTGGGTCTTCCCCATTTACCTGCCTACTCGGCGTCTCACCACACCCTGCCTTGCCTGTCTCTTATACACCTGCCTGTCTGGCGTCTCTCACACACCTGCCTGCCTGACGTCTCCCACACACACCTGCCTGCCTGGCGTCTCCTCACACACCTGCCCTGGCCTGGCGTCTCCCCACACACCTGCCTCGCCTGGCGTCTCCCTATTTACCTGCCTCTGCCTGGCGTCCCCCATACACCTGCCCTGCCTGGCGTCTCCCCCATACACCTGCCCCTGTCTGGCGTCCCCCATACACCTGCCTCTGTCTGGCGTCTCCCCCACACACCTGCCCTGCCTGGCGTCTCCCACACACCTGCCTCGCCTGGCGTCTTCCTCATTTACCTGCCCCTGCTTGGCGTCCCACTACACACCTGCCCCGCCTGGCGTCTTCCCCATTTACCTGCTCCTGCCTGGCGTCTCCCTCATACACCTGTCCTGCCTGGCGTCCCCATACACCTGCCCCTGCCCGGTTCCCCATACACCTGCCTCCTGTCTGGCGCCCCTCACACACCTGCCTCGCCTGGCGTCTCCCACACACACCTGCCTCTGCCTGGCGTCTCTCATACACCTCGCCTGCCTGGCGTCCCTCTACACCTGCCCTGGTCTGGCGCCCCATACACCTGCCTTGTCTGGCGTCTCCCACACACCTGCCCTGCCTGGCGTCTTCCCCATTTACCTGCCCTGGCCCTGTCCCTCATTTACCTGCCCTGGCCTGGCGTCCCCTCATACACCTGCCCCGCCTGGCGTCTTCCCCATACACCTGCCCTGTCTGGCGTCCCCTCATACACCTGTCCTGCCTGGGCGTCCCCCACACACCTGCCTCACCTGGCGTCTCCCCACACCTGCCCCTGCCTGGCGTCTTCCTCATTTACCTGCCCTGCCTGGCGTCTCCCCTATACACCTGCCTCTGCCTGGCGTCTTCCTCATACACCTGCCTTCGTCTGGCGTCTCTCATACACCTGTCCTGCCTGGCGTCTCCCCACACACCTGCCTCACCTGGCGTCTCCCACACACACCTGTCTCGCCTGGCGTCTCACTCATACACCTGCCTCGCCTGGCGTCTCCCTCATACACATGGAATAGGTGGATCAGTATTAAAATGGATTAGGTCATGGTTAACTGGTAGGAAACAGAGAGTCAGCATAAATGGATTAAAGTCAGACTGGGGTGCGGTCAAAAGCGGAGTTCCCCAGGATCTGTATTAGGCCCTCTGCTGTTTGTTATATTCATTAATGATCTTGATTTAGGCATAACTAGTAGGATTAGTAAATTTGCAGATGATACCAAATGGGGAGAGTGATAAATTCAGACAGTGACTTTGAACACTTCAAAGAGATCTAGATACTTTTACATGAGTGGTCAGTAAACTGGCAAATGAATTTAATACTGATAAATGCAAGGTACTACAGATAGGAAGACGAATACAAACGTTAAGTATAAACTAGGTAACACGGAAATAGAAAACTCAGTTTTGTGAAAAGATTTAGGTATTTGTTAGCAACGACTTGAAACCTAGAAAACAATGTATTAGCGTTCGCAACAAGGCAACAGGATTCTTTGGTTCATATCTAGGTCTGTGAGTAACAGAACTGCTGACGTTATCTTGAAACTTTACTCTAGCATTAGGTGAGGCCACACATGGATTATGCGGTTCAGTTCTGGTGTCCTTATTATAGAATGGACATAGATTCTTTGGAGAGAGTACAAAGAAGAATGACAAAATGATCCATAATATCTTAGAAACCTTCCATATGAAGAAAGACTGAGCTTAGGCTTACATTCATTGAGAGGCGTAGAGTTAGGAGATATGATAGAGGTGTACAAGGGGTAAGTGATTAACAAGGGTAAAATGGAAGATGTTCTGAAGCTCAGTAATAACGAAATAACTAGAACAAATGGCTTTAAATTAGATAAATTCGATTCAGAAAGGATATAGGCAAGCACTGTTTGGATAGAGTTGTGATATGTGAATAGGCTACTGATATAGTAGGATCGGGGACGCTAGGAGCTTCAAGACGAAGTTGGATAGGCACATGGAAGTGCTGGGATGGGGTGAAAGGATCTGCCTGCATGGGCCAGTCGGCCCTGCATCCCACTTATGTTCTTATGTTCTTATGTACACCTGTCCTGGCCTGTCCCCCACACACCTGCCTCACCTGGCGTCTCCCACACACACCTGCCCTGCCTGGCGTCTTCCTCATTTACCTGCCCTGCCTGGCGTCTTCCCTCATACACCTGCCTCTGTCTGGCGTCTCCCCATACACCTGTCTCGCCTGGCGTCTCCCCCACACACCTGCCCCACCTGGCGTCTCCCACACACACCTGCCCTGCCTGGCGTCTTGCGTCCCTCATTACCTGCCTCACCTGGCGTCTTCTCCCTCACACCTGCCCTTGTCTGGCGTCTCTATACACCTGTCTCGCCTGGCGTCTCCCCACACACCTGCCTCCCCACCTGGCGTCTCCCACACACACCTGCCTCGCCTGGCGTCTTCCCCATTTACCTGCCCTGCCTGGCGTCTTCCCCATACACCTGCCTCACCTGGCGTCTTCCTCATCTGCCCTGCCTGGCGTCTTCCTCATACACCGCCCTGCCTCGGCGTCTCCTCACACACCTGCCCCACCTGGCGTCTCCCCACACACACCCTGCCCTGCCTGGCGTGTCCCCCACACACCTGCCCTGCCTGGCGTCTTCCCTCATTTACCTGCCCTGCCTGGCGTCTTCCCCATACACCTGCCCCACCTGGCGTCCCACACACACCTGCCCTGCCTGGCGTCTTCTCCCCATTTACCTGCCCTGCCTGGCGTCTCCCCCATACACCTGCCCCACCTGGCGTCTCCCACACACACCTGCCCTGCCTGGCGTCTTCCCCATTACACTGCGCTCTGCCTGGCGTCTCCCCTCACACACCTGCCCCCACCTGGCGTCCCACACACACCTGCCCTCGCCTGGCGTCTCCCCATTTACCCGCTCCCTGCCTGGCGTCTCCCCACACCTGCCCCTGGCGTCTTCCTCATTTACCTGCCTCTGCCTGGCGTCTTCCCCCCACACCTGCCCCACCTGGCGTCCCCACACACACCTGCCTCTGCCTGGCGTCTCCCCATTTACTCCGGCCCTCGCCTGGCGTCTCCCCATACACCTGCCCCACCTGGCGTCTCCCACACACAACTGCCCCTGGCCTGGCGTCTTCCTCATTTCACCTGCCCTGCCTGGCGTCTCCCCACACACCTGTCCCTCACCTGGCGTCCCTCACACACACCTGCCCTGGCCTGGGTCTTCCCATTTACTGCCCTCGCCTGGCGTCCCCCATACACCTGCCCCTGCCTGGCGTCTTCCCCATTTACCTGCCCCGCTTCTGGCGTCTCACTCCACACACCCTGCCCTGGCCTGGCGTCTTTCATTTACCTGCCCTGCCTGGCGTCTCCCACACACCTGCCCCTGCCCAAGGTCTCCTCCCACATACACCTGCCCTGCCTGGCGTCTTCCCTCATACACCTGCCCTGTCCGTGTCCCCATACACCTGCCCCTGCCTGGCGTCTCCCCCATACACCTGCCCCCTGCATGGCGTCTCCCTACACACCTGCCCTGCCTGGCGTCTCCCCATACACCTGCCCTGCCTGGGTCTCCCCCATACACCTGCCCTGCCTGGCGTTTCCCTTTATAGCACCTGCCCCACCTGGCGTCTCCCTCACACCTGCCCCACCTGGCGTCTCCCACACACCTGCCCTGCCTGGCGTCTCTCCTCATTTACCTGCTCCTGCCTGGCGTCTTCCCCATACACCTGCCCCACCTGGCGTCTCCCACACACACCTGCCCTCCTGGCGTCTTCCTCATTTACCTGCCTGGCTCGGTCTTCCTCATACACCTGCCCCCACCTGGCGTCTCCCACACACACCTGCCTCTGCCTGGCGTCTCCTCATTTACCTGCCCTGCCTGGCGTCCTCATACAACTGCTCTGCGTGGCGTCTCCCTCATACACCTGCCCTGCCTGGCGTCTTCCCTCATACACCTGCCTCCTGCCTGGCGTCTCCTCATACACCTGCCTGCCTGGCGTCCCCATACACCTGCCCTGCCTGGCGTCCCCATACACCTGCCCTGCCTGGCGTCTCCCCATACACCCGCTGCCCGCCTGGCGTCCCTTTATAGCACCTGCCCCACCTGGCGTCTCCCCACACACCTGCCCCACCTGGCGTCTCCCACACACCTGCCCCGCCTGGCGTCTCCTCATCCACCTGCCTCGCCTGGCGTCTCCCACACATGCCCCGCCCCCACCTGGCGTCCCCACACACACCTGCCCCGCCTGGGGTCTTCTCATTTACCTGCCTCGCCTGGCGTCTTCCCATACACCTGCCCCACCTGGCGTCTCCCACACACACCTGCCTCTGCCTTGGCGTCTCCTTCACTGCCTGCCCTGGCCTGTCTCCCCCATACACCTGCCTCTGCCTGGCGTCCCCATACACCTGCCCCCGCCCAGTGCTCCCCATACACCTGCCCTGCCTGGCGTCCCCCACACCCTGCCTCGCCTGGCGTCCCCATACACCTGCCCTGCCTGGCGTCTCCCCTCATACACCTGCCTCCCCTGCCGTCCCCTTACACACCTGCCTCACCTGGCGTCTCCCTTACACACCTGCCTCGCTTGGCGTCTCCCTTACACACCTGCCTCACCTGGCGTCTCCCTCATACACCTGCCTCACCTGGCGGCTCCCTCATACATCTGCCTCGCTTGGCGTCTCCCTTACAAACCTGCTTCGCTTGGCGTCTCCCTTACACACCTGCCTCACCAGGCGTCTCCCTCATACACCTGCCCTGCCTGGCGTCTACCTTACACAGACCTCTGCTCCGAGTATTCGGGAATCAGACGAGTCATCAATTTTTAACTTGTAATCTATAGAGTTTTTTTTTAATTTAAACGAATAGTTGCGAATAATTTGACATGTTGTGAATGCATTCTGTAAACAAATAAAATGATCAAGTAATTTCTAGGCAAATTACATAAATATTTTAACAATAATCGAAATGTGTTGGTGGAAGTAACAGTCACTCTTACTGCTGTGTTCTGTGGTAAGGCAGTGTACTGTGGTGGGTTCGCATCCCTGTCAACTATCTCAAGTTAATACAATTTGACTGCACATTACTGTGGCCTTGGCAGTGAGTGACATGAACTGCGATGAACTTACCGAGCGCGAATTTGAGTCCATCATGTGGCATTGTGCTTATAAGGACGGGCATGGGCATAGTGGGTGTGAGACTCCTGACGGGGGCTGGTAGAACTGGGTCATCCCTCAGACCAGCGTCAATCACGATGGTGTAAGGCAGAGGCCAAAACGTGTACCTCTGTAATAAATTTTTTGACCATTATCCGAGGACATTGATCATAAACCAAAGTGCTCGTTCAATTTTTATTTTGGAAATGTGTTCTAAAGTATTTATTGGTTATGCACAGAGCTTCAGCATTAACTATAGTATGAACGGCGGCACCAAGCCCCCCCCCCCCACCTCACTATTATATTAATTTGAATCTTTAAACACGCCTCTGTGTGAAGACGTAATTGTCTGACACGTGTTATTCTATTTATTCCTTTGTCTTATCTTTGGCTATCAGAACGTTAATTTTGTTAATATTTTAAATAGGTAGAAATAACTGGTAAATATCCAGACTTTAAATTCAAAAACTTAGTGTTTGTCTAATACTGTAAGTAACTTTAAAACGAACTGACTTCGAACTATCTGCTGAAGATCATAACAATGTAACTTCATTAATTTCATATTTCTCTTAATTAAGCCACTTTTATACAGTTGTTCAGAATCTTCAAATTGAAAATAAGAAAAGAAAACAAAATTGTGCAGGACCAACAGTACTGTTACTTATAGCTTATTTCTTCAGTTGACTGATTATTTCTTAAGTAAATTCCTCCTGTAGCATTTGTTTACTGTCACCTAACCTTTACGGTAATACAGAGGTTAGTAGACATACATTATTACTTGTCTCATGACTACACACCTGTCTTCCTGACGTGACGTGTCTACATATTACCGAGAGAACTATTAGAAGACTTACCAGCATGGACGCTTGGGCTCTGATGACCTCCTGGTAAGGTTTGGCAGAGATGCAGGACCTGACACGAGTTGAGGAGGTAAGAGGACAGCCCAGCTTGTTGGCCAGTTGAGTAGCGTACCTGTGAGGTTGGTCCTTGACGGACCAACAGCCGTGGACGGTGCCGCTCATCAGGATTGCCTTCTGGAACAACCCTGCCACGGTGAGGTACAAGATATTTAGATAAATCTGAGGTGATTTCGAGACGATCAGAAAACTATAGTATTTACGGATTTTAGTTACTGGTTCTTTACAAACCAGTTTTGCAGATTCGTTTTATTAAACTGGACGCGTTGACAGGACCGGGCGTTTATAGTTTATAAAAGCAACAAACCCTAGACATAATGTTGCGTACTACCTCGAGGGATCAGAAAAAAATTTGGCTAATCACAAGTAGATGCTAAATTACCTTTGGCTCTGGGAGAGATCATAAAGAGGTGGGCACTGGCTGAGCCAGCCGAGAAGCCGCCCAAAGTCACCTTGCTGGGGTCACCGCCGAACTGTGCGATGTGGGAGTTGACCCAGCGTAGTGCGGCGATCTGGTCCAGTGAGCCGTAGTTGCCGGGTATCGTCCTGTCACCAGTACTCAGGAAGCCTGCCAGTACAGTGAGGGGAGAGACGACAATGAACAAATTTATTTTTCTCAGTACGGACCCACACAGATTACCTTTAATCTATCTTTGTTACTGTGTTTAAATTTCACTCTCCAGAGTTAGTATAGTAGGCGAGAGTACCATGAGAAAACGTGGCATGTTTGGTAGGGTTACACTGGATAACACCCTTCCAACGTGTGTCCCAAGACAGAACTCTCACCCAGGACATTAAATGAGAGACACGCTGTACTACCAACACCCCTTTAAGCCGGTATGTTTTACCTTTAATCAATCTCAGTTTAATATAAGAAACTCTAAAGATCATCCGAAGAATTTAGGCAGAAAAATAAAAAAAGTAACACAAATTAATTTAGAGTAAGAAGCAGGGATGGCAGTCATGAACCTAATCTGAAATTGGTAATCTGGAGTCTAGACGACAGACACACAGGTAAAAAACAAATAACAAAACCTGGAGACTTTCCAATAGGTAAAAACTAACCTAAAGCACCCAGCCGATAGTTGATAGTGACGAAAACAACTTGGTGAGCTGTGAAACGAGCGGCGCTGAGCCACAACGAAGATCCTCTGAGAAAACCTCCTCCATGGATGTAAACAAACACTGGCAGCCCTTCACCTCCTGATGCTGCTTCTGTAGGTAACATAGGAAGATTCTTAACATGGTAGGTGACAGGGAAACCTTCTTAACATGGTGGTTGACAGGGGAACCTTCTTAACATGGTGGTTGACAGGGGAACCTTCTTAACATGGTGGTTGACAGGGGAACCTTCTTAACATGGTGGTTGACAGGGGAACCTTCTTAACATGGTGGTTGACAGGGGAACCTTCTTAACATGGTGGTTGACAGGGGAACCTTCTTAACATGGTGGCTGGGGCTAACATGGTGGTTGACAGGGGAACCTTCTTAACATGGTGGTTGACAGGGAACCTTCTAACATGGTGGACAGGGAACCTTCTTAACATGGTGGGGGAACCTTCTTAACATGGTTCTCTAACATGGTGGTTGACTGGGAACCTTCTTAACACAGGGGAACCTTCTAACATGGTGGTTGACAGGGGAACCTTCTAACAGGGGAACCTTCTTAACATGGTTGACAGGGGAATAACTGGCTGGATGGTGAACCTTCTAACATGACAGGGGAACCTTCTTAACATGGTGGCTGACAGGGAACCTTCTAACATGGTGCTTGACAGGGGAACCTTCTTAACATGGTGGTTGACAGGGGAACCTTCTTAACATGGTGGTTGACAGGAACCTTCCCTTTCTTAACATGGTGGGGAACATTCTAACATGGTAGGTGACAGGGAACCTTCTTAACATGGTAGGTGACGGGAACCTTCTTAACATGGTAGATGACAGGGGAACCTTCTTAACATGGTAGGTGACGGGAACCTTCTTAACATGGTAGGTGACACGGGAACCTTCTTAACATGGTAGGTGACGGGAACCTTTTTAACATGGTAGGTGACAGGGGAACCTTCTTAACATGGTAGGTGACGGGAACCTTCTTAACATGGTAGGTGACGGGAACCTTCTTAACATGGTAGGTGACGGAAACCTTCTTAACATGGTAGGTGACGGGAACCTTCTTAACATGGTAGGTGACAGGGGAACCTAACTAACACGTGTGTGCGTGATTTACTGAGTGTTAAGAGATATTCGCCCAGTAGCTGCCTGCCAGTCCTCTGTAGGTGAAGGAAACAAAGTAGCCCTTTTGATGAATAAAACCCACAGGTGAGACTGCAAGTGGACTAAATACCTCGGTATTCTGACTATGCTTCGTTAAAATGACTAGGTAACTGTTACCCACACGAGGAATACAAGACATAGGCTTCATATTGTTGGGTGTGTTGTCAGTTTTGATTGGTAGACACTCCATCGTGCAGCCAAGACACTTAACTCGGAAAGCATGGTGTCTGTAGTTGGCCTTTAACGCTACTAAACAGGTTGATGGTATACCTGTAATATAATGATGCAGAGGTAGGTTAGTGATGAACCTGGCACACTGCAAGCGAACATAAATGGCGTGAGTAACAGGTTAATGGTGTACCTGACAGGCTGGGAGGCTCGTTAATGACATACCCGGCAGTTTAGGAGTGAAAACATTGAGGTACAGACAGTCTTCATCGCCTAGTACAAGGTTAAACTTCACGCTGTATTGAGGGCAGGCGGGCTGGTATTGAGAAGCATTAAGGTGACCGCCAGGCCAACCACCTTTGACCTCCACGGGGTCCTCCAGCCTCAGGTTCCCCACCGGTGGCTTAGCGTAGGGAATTCCCCTGGATAAATGAGGAGTTTAGGTTAAGTTAGAATTGGTTTTTGTTTATGTGGTTAAACCTCCGCTGACGGACCCCTAACACCTGGGCGTCCTTAGGTTAACGGCTCGGTCAGTGCCTCACCTTACTGAACAGTCTGTCATGTGCCCCGTCCCCGGTTACCTCGCAGTTAACCCCTTGAGTATAATGTCAACCTAGCATGTACAGTGCAGTGGCTCAAACTACTAAGTAAGGTACATTAACCCTTTCATTACGATGACTAACCACATTGAATAAGATGACCTATCCTTTTGGGTTAGATGTCTTTTATACTCAGAATGCCAATTTAACGTAACTGGAATAAATTTTGGTGATAATAACATTAAAAGAAAAAAAAATCAAGGATCCTTCAAAGATTCACAGTGAATTCGTGCGGAGGAAACTCAGGGCTGGGTGTAGTTATTAACTCAGGGACCCCAAACTTAGGGAGCCTCAGCACTGGGTTCCGTCAACGAAACTCCTTATTTGTGTATATTAAAAATAAAATAAAAATAAATAGGTTGCTCATAGTTCTCTGTACATAAGAGTCAATAACAACAACAACAACAACCAGGTGATTTAAGTGTAAGAAATAGTTTTATGTTGATTGATAGAGTCTTAGTTACAGTCAACAGGCAGGATATAAAGTTTAGTCATTAGAGTTTGTTAGATTCCATCACAGCTCACACTACTATCTATATTTAGTTGATACACCTGATAATAATTACCTGAAGGCGTAGTAATGAGTGTTGGAGCGATGTAGCCCCATGGTGGGTTCCTTGCGTCCTGTGACGCTGCCAAGGGTCGTCTGGTGCTGCACTAACTCCCCCTCCTCTGGCACTGTGTAGGTGACGATCAGTTAGTTATCTTTATCATTAACTTACTCACCGAACTATATATACTGTATATACCAAACTGACAAGAAATTGTTAAGATCTCGTGTGTATGTGTGTGTGTGTGTGTGACTTGGTCACTTACAGTCAGAGGTGTAAAAATTACCAGACTTCACGTTACATTTAAAAAAATTAGTCAAGCAAAAGTAAAACTATCAATCCTAAAATGTACTTAAGTAACAGTAAGAAAAAAGTATCTTATATGTTAGGTACTCAAATAATGAAAGTAGAAAGTAAATTCGGCAATGATGAAGATTGCTTAACTCAAGTTAACTGCAATTGTAAACTATGAATTTATTAGGTAATATTATGAAGAAAAAACCTCCACCCAAATGACTGCAACCAACTTTATTCTTAACAATATTTTTGATTCAGCTTTAGGACCAATTGGTTTTCGAAATGATTATTGTTCGGTCTTGTTCACTTTGGGCTGAATATCATCCCAGCACAACTGAAGAGACGTTCACAGGCAGGGGAATGATTTGAGGGTCGCCATTTCATTGCCGGGTCATGCCAGGTAGTTTACCAGTCAACTTCAATTAGCCCCTGAGGCTAATGGGATGAACTTTCGGTTGTCCATTATGCAAAGCGATTTTTTGCTGACAGATTATTTGCCTTGGTGGGATTTGTTTAATTTTTTTGGTAACACAATTTTGATGATAGAAATAATTATTTTAGTGATATAAGTATTTCTTATGGTGAGATTTTTTATATTAATAGTGGCATAAAAATTAGGTATATAAATAATTATTTTGGTGACAAAAGTATTTGTTTTGGTTTGGTTGTTTATTCAATTTGGTGACACAATTTTTTTGACGCAACTATTGTATTTAATTTGGTGCTGAAAAGTATTTATTTTGGTGAGGCAAACTATTTGTTGTGTTCATGAATGAACACCCTGTGATTGGCTGCTTCAACTCCAGACTTGAGAGTGTTCGCGAATGTAACGGAACTTTATGTTGGTCAATATGTAGTGGAGTAAATGTAATTTACTTATAAAATATTTAAGTTGAAGTAAAATTACACAAAGACTAAATTACTTTATAAAAAGTAGATCCATGAAAAAGGTAATTTAGTTTAGTAACGAATTATACAGTATATCGCTACTTGACACCTCTGCTTACAGTACAAGAGAACAGGAGCATTAAGAAAACGGAGAGCACCAACTAATTTAAAAATCAATAGTTATATCATCACTAGGTGTTGCCTTTTTTTTTAACTGCTATATAACGATTTATTGCCTGGGATACTAATGAAGGTATGTTACCACCACCAAAGGTTAGAATTATTCTTTTGGTGGTAATTATCCTCATTTTAAGAACCATTGGAAAAATAAACTTACCAAAGGGTTGAGTGACAAACAGACTTAATTCATTAGGTGATCTCTGAGGGTCAGCGCTACATTGATACCGGGTGAGGACGAGGAAGAGGACCAGCCTCAGCAGATGTCGCTGGGGCCGCACCATGGTGAAGTACTGTACTGTCAACTGTGGATGATTCACCTGCTAATATATTACAAATAACTTACTATAACAATTACTGATTTTGGTTTTCTACAGTATGGAAATTTTAATTTATCATTCGCGTCTTCTTATGCTTTTCTTTATGTGTAATTTTATGCCTTTAACAACTGAGGTATTTAGGTTCATATTCTAATTAGTCCCGTACTGTTATACAGGAGACAACAAGTAGTATCAATTACTGTTCATAACGTAATATTGAAAGGAAATGTACAGTTATTAATTATTTCTCAAAACCTTAAGAAAAATATGACATTACATAAATCATAATATATGATACATAACTAGCAACAGTCTGTAAATTCTGTGGGAAAATGTACTGTGCATGACCAGTACAAATGTTCCTGGGCAGGTGCATTACCGGTACTAGTCTCCCCGGCCAGCTACACTACCGGTACTAGCTTCCCTGGCCAGATACACCACCGGTACTAGCTTCCCTGGCCAGGTACACTATCGATACTAGCTAACCTGGCCAGGTACACCAACGGTACTAGGTTCCCTGGCCAGGTACACTATCGGTACTAACTTCCCTGGCCAGGTACACCACCGGTACTAGCTTCCCTGACCAGGTACACCACCGGTACCAGCTTCCTTGGCCAGGTACACCACATAATGATATAGAGAAGGCGTTAAGTAATGTCAATTTTATACGTAATATTTTTGTTCTGTTGACACTTTGTCCGCCATCTTAACATTTCTTCCTGACCACCTTAATTTTCTCACACTGTTGGTTTTTTACAAAGTGTTCCAACTATAAAAGACATCTTTAACCACTTGTGTACGGGATCCCCTCTGTGCTTAATAAAATCATCTGGCTTTAACCATATAGAATATTAAGAGTGGCGTCCCCACAGTGAAGGGTTAGTGAAAATAACGGTCTGTTGTGGCCGCTCGGGAGTATTGTTGTAAGCTTATACAATAGTCTTCAGGCGGTCACGTGATAACCAGCTGAAAACAGACACTTGTGCTCCGGCTTCTCAAACGGACTCCATCATTGGCATTAACCTTTTGAAAGACAGGAGAGTCTCTCAGCTGAATAAAATCGTATGGCGTTAGCCAGAATAAAGTACCTAAGTGCACTGCTGCCATACAAAGGATTAAGTAACGTTAAAGATTAAATTAAATTTCTTCAGTAAAGTTTTTCCACTTAGTCACTTGCAAGATTTCTTTCAAGTTTTGCGCCCAGTATTAAATCTCATTTTTTTTTTTTTCCATGATGATTCGAAAATCTTTGTATACTAGCTCGCTGCATTGAGCCAATACATTGTTTGACAGCTCCCATGGCCAGCACGGTCCCTTCATTTAACGGTACTTGATTTTTTCCTTTGGGGATACAGTACCTGAAAAGTATATAGTCTACTGCCACAGACCTACAAACTTGGAGGAGCTAACAGCGAACATTCGGCAGTGCATTGATGAAAACACAGCAGACACCCTCCGAGGTGTCAGAAACAATGTACTGGCTCGAGGCCGCGAGTGCCGTGGTCCTGGAGGGCATCATCTTAAGAGAACCATTTTTAACGTAAAAAAAATTAAATTTCCGCTGCAATTTGAGGCATTTTCAACCATCCGATCAATATATACAGTATAGCCTATTTCTACGGTGTTATGATATGAGTCCCTCATATCATTCGATTCAGTAATTTCAGTATGTTTTTGTGTATTTCTGGTAACACTGTGAGACTCCTCACCTACCTCGGTCACTGCTGGACTCCGTTTGAGATGCCGGAGCACAAGCGTCGGGTATCAGCTGGTTATCACGTGACCGCCTGAAGGCTATTGTTTAAGCTTACAACAATATCCCAGAGCAGCTACAACAGACCCTCATCTTCACTACAGGGCGTTTTTTGTCAGCGGAGAAAAGATGCCTCGCCCTCCTCAATAGTTACAGCTGATTGGCAGATTTTTTTCTGAAGTAATGATGTATTTTTAAATGAGTTTATTCATAATCGTGAAGATGACCGTTTCTGACGAGAAAGATATTTAGCTAAATTATATAAAGATACATACATTCATTATTTCAAACATAAGCAAGTAGGAAGTTTATCAGAAGTATTATACATGAATTAACTGTTAGACTCTGGTAGCAAATTCACGCTTTCGGAGGAATCATTTAATATATACTTATTTTTACCCACAATACGGTATACTAAGACAAATTACGTATCAGTAATACTACATTATGCGAAAACAACATTTTAAAAGATCAGAATCACATTGAAATATTACACGACCGTTAGCAGAGGCGGGAAAAATATGAAGTTGTTCGCAGTCATATTTCCTGCCTGTGCCCGGGTGGGCAAATCCTCATACAAATAAATAAAAAAGTAACCCTTACGCACTACCCACTCAGTTTCCGAGGCAGTACACAAAAACTAAGAGTCATGAATACGGACCCTGATTCCTTGGCTACTACAAACCTGGAATAATTCTAATACAGTTTACATGTATAATGACTTGCTTTATCCCTGGAACTAAACTATAAACCCGACGCCAACTGAGGCGGTATCACTCGCCATAATAGATATCAAGAGATTGACTACACACATACTCGCACAGACACGCACACATACACACACGAGGGCTCACATACTATACATATAGGGTACAGACACATACGATGGCTTTCCCTTGACAAAAAACAATATGATGTATAAACGACCGCCATTAATTGTCTTCTACTCGAAAAGAAACTATGTATTCAAGAAAAAAATAGAGGAAATGTGATCAGAATACTAAAAGACGTGTTTATGATAGTGACTGAAGAACAATAATTTAAGTATCTCTTTATAGTGTTGTTAGGAATAGTATTTTTGTTTTAAAGAGATTATAGGGGTAATGAGAGTCGTTTATCAAGCACAAGGGCATAATCAGTGATCTAAGATGAAGAGTGGAGAGGGAGGTAAACCAAGTGTATTCTAGTGCTTTTTTTTTTTACGAGGCTAAGTCTACCTGGGCACAGGTAACCGATTCACATCACGGCCTGTGGGGTGAAAACAACAACAAAAAGTGAATCATAAATAAATATAGAAATGTAAAAAAATTAACCGATCAAGAATGAGAACGGTATACTATGTTGTGTTGTTAATATGTGTTGTGTACTTAATATTGGAAGAACAAATACTGATAATGTATACAGCCTTAACAACATCAAACTAGAGAAGTCGAGTTGTGAAAGAGACCTAGGGGTACTTGTAAACCCGGACCTACGGCCTAGAAAACAATGCGTTAATGTTCCGAAATAAAGCAAACAGAGTATTGGGTTTTATATCTAGAAGTGTAAGTCACAAGAGTGCAGAGGTCTTATTGCAACTATATCTTGCAATAGTCAGGCCGCATCTCGATTATGCGGTTCAGTTCTGGTGCCCTTATTATAGAATGGATATAAATTCACTAGAGTCGGTGCAGCGAAGAATGACAAAAATGATTCCGGGACTTAGAAACCTTCCATATCAGGATAGGTTAAAGAAACTTAACTTGCATTCCCTAGAAAGACGAAGAGTGCGGGGAGATATGATAGAAGTATTTAAGTGGGTGAAAGGAATCAATAAAGGGATATAGATAAAGTTCTTATAATATCCGAGCAGGATAGGACTCGGAGCAACGGATTTAAGTTGGATAAGTTTAGGTTTAGGAGGGAGATAGGAAGAAACTGGTTCACAAATAGGGTGGTGGACTAGTGGAACAAGCTTAGCAACTTTGTAGTAAGTGCGGGAACTCTGGAAAGTTTCAAAAGGAGGCTAGATAGATTCATGGATGATAGAGAGTGGTAGTAACTCTCGACAGGAGCTGCCATGTACAGGCCAACCGGCCTATTGCAGACTCCTTATTTTCTTATGTTCTTATGTAAAATAAGATAAATAATTGAGACCCTGTAATTGCTTGTAAATGAGGCAGAAAGTCAGATCAGCAACCTTGGACTTGGTCACAAATTTGGTGATGCCATATGGCAGTAGGGTCTACCATTAGACGGAACATTATGCTTCCAATATCTTCCCAGGCGGTAGTACCTCCCTGTTTGGTAGCTTCCTACTATCTCATATATTCAGTTGCTCTCTCTCTCTCTCTCCTCTCAATATGTCTTCTTTCTATATCATATCGTCTTCTCTTTTCTGCTCTTCATCACCCCCTCTCTTTATTCCTTTCACAGCGTCACGATATAAAACGTCAAGCAGCTATGGCCACGGTTAAAACAAACAACCATGTCCATGATCAAAACAAGCAGCAGTGGCTATAGTCAAATCAAGCAGCAGTGGCCATGGTCAAAATAAACAACCATGGCCATGATCAAAACAAACAGCTGTGGCCATGGTCAAAACAAACAATCATGGCCATGATCAAAACAAATAGCTGTGACCATGATCAAAACAAACACCTGTGGCCATGATCAAAACAAACAGCTCGCACTGTTTTTTCGACGTTGACAGTTGTAAGAGCTACTAACGTAACGCAACGTAACCCATGTGGAGCTGGTCTGTGGTTGGTAGGCCTAGTTATCTCTAGTTAATTGAGAGAATAATCCGCCTGGTAATGTGACTCAGTTGCGTTCGTGTGAGCAGCGTATAGTTCAGCCCATTTCAGCGAGTCGGTGTCAGGCGGAGGAATACCAGATGGGCTGGTGTCATGGCCAGGGCTCATAGTATAAAATCTTGTCCAAAATAATCAAATGTCTCTCTGATAAGACAAAGGAGAGCATACGTTTCGGGACTTCATGTGGGTAGGACTCACCGGCGGCCAAGTAGCTGATGTGAGGAGTGAGTGAGGGTGCCACTTTGTCCTTGGTTATGTGAGGAGTGAGTGAGGGTGCCACTTTGTCCCTGGATATGTGAGGAGTGAGTTAGGGTGTCACTTTGTCCTTGGTTCATGTTCTGGAGTGAGTAAGGGTGCCACTTTGTCCTTGGTTATGTGAGGAGTGAGTGAGGGTGCCACTTTGTCCCTGGATATGTGAGGAGTGAGTTAGGGTGTCACTTTGTCCTTGGTTCATGTTCTGGAGTGAGTAAGGGTGCCACTTTGTCCTTGGTTCATGTTCTGGAGTGAGTGGGGTGCCACTTTGTCCCTGGTTATGTGAGGAGTGAGTTAGGGTGTCACTTTGTCCTTGGTTCATGTTCTGGAGTGAGTGAGGTGCCACTTTGTCCTTGGTTCATGTTCTGGAGTGAGTGAGGGTGCCACTTTGTCCCTGGTTATGTAAGGAGTGAGTGAGGGTGTCACTTTGTCCTTGGTTCATGTTCTGGAGTGAGTGAGGGGTGCCACTTTGTCCTTGGTTCATGTTCTGGGGTGAGTGGGGTGTCACTTTGTCCCTTGGAGTGAGAGGGGGTCCTTGGTGTCCTTGGTTCATGTTCTGGAGTGAGTTGTCATTTGTCCTTGGTTCATGTTCTGGAGTGAGGTTCATGTTCTGGAGTGAGTGGGGTGCCACTTTGTCCTTGGTTCATGTTCTGGAGTGAGTGAGGGTGCCACTTTGTCCTGGTTCATGTTCTGGAGTGAGTGAGGGTGCCACTTTGTCCTTGGTTCATGTTCTGGAGTGAGTGAGGGTGCCACTTTGTCCTTGGTTCATGTTCTGGAGTGAGTGTGTCCCAGGGTGTCACTTTGTCCTTGGTTCATGTGGGGTGCCACTTTGTCTTTGGTTTATGTTCGGGAGTGAGTGTGCCAGGTTATGTGAGGGTGAGTGTGAGGAGGTCACTTTGTCCTTGTTCACTTTGTCCTTGGTTCATGTTCTGGAGTGAGTGGGGGTGCCACTTTGTCCTTGGTTATGTAGGGAGTGAGAAAGGGTGCCACTTTGTCCTTGGTTATGTAGGGAGTGAGTGGGGGTGCCACTTTGTCCTTGGTTCATGTTCTGGAGTGAGTGAGGGTGCCACTTTGTCCCTGGTTATGTGAGGAGTGAGTGAGGGTGCCACAATGCCCCTGTTTAGTGTAAGAGGTGAACCCTGTCTTAAGGCTACGTGAGGTGTGGAGGCTGAGTGCCGTCTTACTTAGCAGAAAATAAGATTGTGAAAAAAAGGATGAAATTAGTCTCCTGAAATGTGGTAAGTTTGACGGAAGAATAAAATGAATCTTTAGTTTTAAAGAGAATGAATGTACAAGTGAAAAATGTAATATAAAGGAAATGTAATATCAAGACTTGAAACAAAACAAAAAACAAAATCGAATCGCTTTTCAAGTTAGACGAACAGTCAGAGCTGAATCTTTCCAACCCCCAAATAAATAAAGACGATGATAAACTGTTATTAGGCAGTAATGATGTAACTGGGATAAATATTTTGTTTTTATTATTCATTATCAAGATGGGGAATAGATTAGGATGTCGGGGGAAGAATAAAACAAACAACAAAGCAATTCATGATGTACAGTATCTCTCCTAACCTCAACTAGAGTTTGTTCCAATTCTCCTGGTTTAGACATCTTTAATTTTTGTCCAGCTAAACACCTCAGCTAAAACATTTAATAAACAACACTAATCTCTCCTTGCAGTTCTTTATTTGCTAAAAAAAAGCTAATGTTTCAGAATTTCATATTAGGACATTTACTCTCTTAATATCAATACAAAATGTCGGCCTTAGAAGATAAAAATGTTTCAAGTATATTTAGGTTTATGGCAGAAAATATAGTACTAGAACCTTATACCTAGACTTATATTGACACTGATATATTTCACTGATTCTGAGTCTGCATAGCATCCTTTACTTCTCTTTGGTAGATGGTGTTCAGCGGTGACTTGAAGTTGATAGATGAAAGAAAAAAAAGCAATTCTGGATGACTGGTTGAAAGGTT